GTCCTATTAAGTTTCCCTGAGAGAAAGATTTATTTTTTTGTCTTGTCTCAAGCTTAGGAAAACGGAAAAGTTCTGAGTCCTCACGAGAAGCTAAACCTTAGATCTTCGGATTCCGCCCTCGGATTCTCTAGCCCTGAGCCACAAGGACACAACGCTGCACTGGGTCATCGCTTGGTCCACATGTGACATGTGTCCTGCATACTGCTAAGATTAACAATGTCGCAAGGGTCCTGCGTGTAAATAGAATAGGAAAGATAGTAAATACTAAGTTTGGTGTTGAGATGGAGAAATATGTTTTTTTTGAGCTTTTCGACAAAGGAAAAGTTCTGAATACCCTTGAGGAATTGAGTTTCCCTTGTTTAAGCTCGGCTACTTGCCACTAGTTTTCTGTTGACTTGTGTTTGAGAAGATTCAGGCAGTTGTTGTTTTTTTTTTCCATGTTGAACGTTTGGGATTTTCTGTTTTTTTCTGACGCAGTGAGCTTTATTTTGGTCTTCATTATTTTCGAACCACTCTTGTTACCAGTGTTTTTTGACACAGGAAACGGGACAATTTATGAAAGTATATTAGATAAAATTATGACAAAAAGAAAAACGAAAGGCACCGGTGGGATTTGAACCCATGACCTCCTGTTTACTAGACAGGCGCTCTAACCACCTGAGCTACGGCGCCTCTCTTGAAGATGGTATTGTAGAAGGGTTAATTGTTGAGATGGAGCCGGCCAAACAGCTAAGAACCGAGGAATGCGAGGCTGATATAGCAAGGCAATGATATAAAAATGCCTTAATTCTATTAGGACATACTTGCTAAAAGCTGCCTTCAAAACGTGAGTGGCAACTGGTGCTTGTCGTTGTTGGATGATAGAATGCTTCATACAGTTCTTAAACCCAAAACACAGTCCAGGGATCATTACTTCAGTTATGACAAAGGCAGCGAAAAAATTGAGGAATGTAGTTAACAACCGTCTGTAAACTTCAAGGTATCATACACCTAAACAAATTACGAAACAAAATACGAAACTGTGGAAAATGTTCTGACCCCCTATTGATACTAACAACCTATCTCGGAGTGGACTACACGAAAGCCGCGGTGGAACTGGGATTAGATGAAATTTTTATGATGAACGAATTCCCTCCTTTGCTATCGATTAATACCGAAAAGTGATAATTATAAAACTGATACATTCGTCATTTTTCTAAAGACTCTAAACATCTAAGATCTAGCAAGCACAATCTACTCCTTAATGGCAACACATATTCGGTCGTCTCCGTGGCGCAATCGGTTAGCGCGTTCGGCTGTTAACCGAAAGGTTGGTGGTTCAAGCCCACCCGGGGACGATAATTTACACCTCAGCCAACCCTTTTGTTTTCTTGTTGCATGTTTTATATGGCACATTTCTCGGTAAGAAATATTAACCGTTCTGTTAGCTGTTACAGAGTTACTAGCTGTGGCACTCAGATGCTCACGTGTTGGAAATCAAGTGCAGTCACGCCTTTACCATTGAGCTGAAAAAGACAAAAGTAGACTGGAATACTCCAGTTTTCATAATTCGAAGGCTGGGCTTCATTTCCTATCTGTCTTCATTATTTCTCCTTTAGAGGGGGATGAACACACCCCAACTGTCATTTGTTTGAAGAAGCTTGTTTCATTGGTGAGATTGATGGTGGAGCAGTGGTGACTTATTTGCGGGTTTCTGCCTGACATTGAGTTTGGCTCGCACAGCTCCTCCTTCAAATGCAACTACCTTACCAGGAGCTAGGTAAACTTTGAGAAGCCGTTCACTGTGACAATACTTCCTTTAATGTACACTCCTTGTAAACCGGCTGAGGTTGTCATTTAGACTTAAACAATGTTTCGAAGTGCGATCATGATCAAAACACCAGTAACTCTAGTCTTTTCATGACGCAGGTATTAATCCACCTGCTTATATAACAGCAATAAATAAAATACCCTTCCTAAACCACCTTTGACATCTCCGGCCTGTTGGTCTAGTGGCATGATTCTCGCTTTGGGTGCGAGAGGTCCCGGGTTCGACTCCCGGACAGGCCCGACAGTATTTCCTTTTGGAAAACTTTCTCGAAATTAACAGACCGGTTGGTCAAACTTCCCTTAGATAACTTTATGACGACGGCAATACCATAAAAGATAGATCTCATTTTGTTTTCCGTTTCTGGTTCCTCACAAGCCCTTAACGTACCACTGAATTTTGTTTTTTTCAAGGAGAGCTCCCATTACTTCTGTTTTTTTTTCTGTTAAGAGTACCAAACTTGGAACATTATCTTAATTCATTTCGTAGAAAAGGTTGTGGTTATTCATCGTGTTTTTCGTTTGTCTTACGACGTAGTCACGTGTGATGTAGATCGCGACGTTTCGACTGCATACTGCTAGTCTTCTTCAGGCAAAACCAAACAGCAGTGCCGAACCCGCCAACGAGTTACTACTAGTGCGGTTTTGCCTTATGTCAAAGGTCTGTCCTAACAGCTTCGCCGTTGCCTACAACAACAAGGCGTACGTTTTCAAGTCTGAGACTACGCTAAGATCTCAGTTAGTACGACCAAAAGATGCTGTCGACCGAACACAAGCCACTCTGGAACAGAGTAAAGTTTATTGATCGTGACCCTTATTACTACACGCGCAGGGTCAAAGGGGCAATTCATGTAAGACTTCACCCTAACAACATCAGCAGGGATAGTGGAATAGAAATTCCAGAAGCGTGGATGCCCACGACAAAAACAACAACAACAACAGGAGAGCCGTGCGACAGCGGACCGCCAAGAGAGCAAATCACTGAGGGAACAGCAAGGATCGAAATGCACCAATCAAAGCTGTTGAATAGCAACTAATCATAGCAGACTACGTGACTACATCGTGAGACAAACGAAAAACTTAGCTTTTATTTTTATCACCCTAATTCAGTTTCTCGGTTGTTAATAACATCCCTTGATTTAAACGCAGGCGAATCTAAAAAAATTCCGAAGGGCGGTTATTTTCGCTTTTTTCCGAATTTAGTTGAGTTAAATCTGATAACGATACTCTACAGGCCATATGAAAGTAGATTCAAGTATTTAACATAACATAAAGAGCAGGTTTCTGTAGTGTAGTGGTTATCACATCCGCCTGAAGAAGCGTTAACATATATATGATATGACCAAGAACTGACACATCATGGTTTATTCACTATAGAAATCTTCACTTTCCACTTATTTACCTCCGCGAATATGGTGAGGCAGTAGGCATACTATTGTTCAGGTCAGGTTGTAGAAACAGAAAATTAAATAATGGAACAAGAAGCGTTAACATATATATGATATGACCATACTCCATCATGGTTTGGTGACTCTTGATAACAATGGCTAATTCTTTTTTTTAAAGAAATTAAACTCACAAAGACTCTTTAAGGCTCTTAAAGAAACTCTTAAAAAAGTCGGTAAAGCAAGCTTAAAACGGCAGAGAACGCCGGAAACCACAACGGACACAAAAGATGTGAGTAAATTCTATTGATTTAACGTGTAAAATGTTCATATTTCGAAATATTTATCGTTGTAAATTGACCATATTTCGTTCCCTATGCTACTCCTTATAGCATGTTCAAATTATCAACTGTTCCTCCATAAGTTAACACCGAGTCACACAACATGTTACGCATACATGAATTAATGCTTTTTATCGAGACGTGAGCTTGGGACACCTTTGTTCATGTGAATCTGCACTCGAACTATCGCAAGAAGCCTTGCATCTCTCTGCTGTTTTTCTTTCCATACATTAGCGAGTAAAGTTAGAAATTAAATCTTGATCGGTCGATGTGCTCTCGTGGGGAGTCCTAGTTTGCAGTAAATTCAAACTGAAGATAGACTTGTCTGTGAAAACGCCGTGACAAAAATATGGAGCAGTTGAAGGCTCCAAGTAATGGGTTCCTGACTCCTCTTATGCCTGAGGATACGCCCCCAAGTTAAACAAGTGCTCAATCAGACTTGAAAAATGATCAGAAATGCGACTCTGATCGAAAGTCCAGGAACACCAGTCCATCCATAACAAAGTTATGGCACACAGGTATCAATCTACCTGTTTCAGTAGAATAATAATAAAAATACCCTTTCTAGAGAATATTTGAGGATCACATGGTTTTTTTTTTTTGAAAAGGACAACAAGTTAAAATGCAGCGGCGAGGTTCAGTTTTTAAGCCAAATGTTGTTTTAACATAGTGAATACCTTTTGTAGTCACCTTTGTCCTTCTTTTATAAAGGCTTATTATGTCGCAACGCGTGGCTCATTTTTTCTTACGCTTTGTTTTAACGTAGGATATCTCTCAGCAGATTAAGAAATATATATAATCTATGTTATCGTATATTTTGATTTTAGCTTCAGTTATCTTAAAAAGTTCTACGTTTTTGAAACATCGAGACTTAGTGGCTTGCGTGGTTGCTTATATTTCCTGTTGGACAACATGGTGTGACAGCCCAAAAGCACACGACAAGGCTACGTTGTCCATGCACAGATGTTTGACTGCTGTGTGCTCTGTTCTACTCTGGTTTGAGTGCAAGCTTAATTATGAGCCAGAATCTGTTACGTCACCGGTCAGCGGACAGACTACTGAGCAATAATCAAAATGGCCAGGTCTTTTGTTATACTCATTATAAGTGTAAGCATTACTCATCTTTAAGCGAACTTCGAATAACAATACAATCTAACAATACAATCTTAGGTGTGAATTGCCTCCTACATAAAGAGGACAAAACTTAAGAGATGAACCTGTGATCTTCTGCGTGTTTGGTGTATGTAATAATGAGGGAATTATCCGATTCCAGACAACAAACTTGGACTGAGACAGAATTAAGGAAATCAGTGCGTTCGCTAAAAAAACACTTAAAATGATTTAATTCCAACAGAGGGCACCCTCTTTAGCCAGGTTAGTCTTGGCAACAGAAAGGACTAAAGACGTATCAAATATTAATAAATCCACTTATTAACAAAATAGTAGTTACACTACATTAAGTGTGACATCCTCGGTAGTATAGTGGTGAGTATCCCCGCCTGTCACGCGGGAGACCGGGGTTCGATTCCCCGCCGGGAGGCCGGGAAGGGTTTTTGTGCTTAACCATATTTTCCAAATATCAAATTTGTTTTGAAAGTTTTGAAATTAGTTTTCTTTAATTCCGAAAACAACTCGTTTTTTCATGAACATAAGGAAGCGATAACAAACTGTGAGCTACACTAGAGGAACTACAGAAGCTTACGCAGTGCTGTCTCTCTATTGCGCCATATTAACGTCACCGACTTGATATCTATGATAAGATTTCATTAAATCTGGCTTCTAATGGGCTTTTCGAATTGAGTTACGGTTAAATCTGATGACGATACTGAACAGGCCATATTGAAATAGCTTCGACAATTTAAAAGGAATATGTGCGTTTGACTTCCGAAGTAAAGATGTTACACGTCAGCCTGATACGCGGAAGGTTGCGGGTTCGAGCCATGCCATGGAGTAAATTTGATCCAGGTTCTGCTATCGATCGGATTCTTTTTGAGCTGGTAGAGAGAGGGTTTAAAGCTGTTTATGTAATTAAAAAAATTGTTCTTCGTCCTATTAAGTTTCCCTGAGAGAAAGATGGTTTTTTTTGTCTTGTCTCAAGCTTAGGAAAACGGAAAAGTTCTGAGTCCTCACGAGAAGCTAAACCTTAGATCTTCGGATTCCGCCCTCCGATTCTCTAGCCCTGAGCCACAAGGACACAATGCTGCACTGGGTCATGGCTTGGTCCACATGTGACATGTGTCCTGCATATTGCTAAGAGTAACAATGTCCAAAGGGTCCTGCGTGTAAATAGAATAAGAAAGATAGTAAATACTAAGTTTGGTGGTGAGATGGAGAAATATGTTTTTTTGAGCTTTTGGACAAAGGAAAAGTTCTGAGTACCCTTTTTTTAACTCCATGTTGAACGTTTGTGATTTTCTGTTTTTTTCTGACGCAGTGAGCTTTATTTCGGTCTTCATTATTTTCGAACCACTCTTGTTACCAGTGTTTTTTGACCCAGGAAACGGGACAATTTATGAAAGTATATTAGATAGAATTATGACAAAAAGAAAAACGAAAGGCACCGATGGGATTTGAACCCATGACCTCCTGTTTACTAGACAAGCGCGCTAACCACCTGAGCAACGGCACCTCTATTGGAGATGGTGTTGTAGAAGGGTTAATTTCTGAGATGGAGCCGGCTAAACAGCTAAGAAGTTTTTTGTGCGTTTGACAAAAAACCGAGGAATGCGAGGCTGATATAGCAAGGCAATGATATAAAAATGCCTTAATTCTGTTAGGACATACTTGCTAAAAGCTGCCTTCAAAACGTGAGTGGCAACTGGTGCTTGTCGTTTTTGGATGATAGAGAGCTTCATACAGTTCTTAAACGAAAAACACAGTCCAGGGATCATTACATCAGTTATGGCAAAGGCAGCGAAAAAATTGAGGAATGTAGTAAACTTCAAGGTATCATACACCTAAACAAATTACGAAACAAAATACGAAACAGTGGAAAATGTTCTGACCCCCTATTGATACTAACAACCTATCCCAGGGTGAACTACACGAAAGCCGCGGTGGAACTGGGATTAGATGAAACTTTTATGATGAACGAATTCCCTCCTTTGCTATCGATTAATAACGAAAATTGATAATTATAAAACTGATACATTCTTCATTTTTTCTAAAGACTCTAAACATCTAAGATTTAGCAAACACAATCTACTCCTTAATAGTAACACATATTCGGTCGTCTCCGTGGCGCAATCGGTTAGAGCGTTCGGCTGTTAACCGAAAGGTTGGTGGTTCAAGCCCACCCGGGGACGATACTTTACACCTCAGCCAACCCTTTTGTTTTCTTGTTGCATGTTTTATATGGCCCATTTCTCGGTAAAAAATATTAACCGTTCTGTTAGCTGTTACAGAGTTACTAGCTGTGGCACTCAGATGCTCACGTGTTGGAAATCAAGTGCAGTCACGCCTTTACCATTAAGCCGAAAAAGACAAAAGTAGACTGGAATACTCCAGTTTTCATAATTTGAAGGCTGGGCTTCATTTCCTATCTGTCTTCATTATTTGTCCTTTAGTGTGGGATGTACGCACCCTAGCTGTCATTTGTTTGAAGAAGCTTGTTTCATTGGTGAGATTGATGGTGGAGCGGTGGTGACTTATTTGCGGGTTTCTGCCTGACATAGAGGTTGGCTCGGACAGCTCCTCTTTCAAATGCAACTACCTTACCAGGAGCTAGGTAAACTTTGAGAAGCCGTTCGCTGTGATAATACTTCCTTTAATGTACACTCCTTGTAAACCGGCTGAGGTTGTCATTTAGACTTGAACAATGTTCCGAAGTGTGACCATGATCAAAACACCAGTAACTCTAGTCTGTTCATGACGCAGGTGTTAATCCACCCGCTTTAATAACAGCAATGAATAAAATACCCTTCCTAAACCACTTTTGACATCTCCGGCCTGTTGGTCTAGTGGCATGATTCTCGCTTTGGGTGCGAGAGGTCCCGGGTTCGACTCCCGGACAGGCCCAATACTCCCTCCTTTTGGAGAACCATCCCGAAATTAACAGACCGGTAAGTCAAACTTCCCGAGGATAACTTTATGACAACGGCAATACCATAAATTATAGATCTCATTTTGTTTTCCGTTTCTGGTTCCTCACAAGCCCTTAACGATTGAATTTTGTTTTTTCAAGGAGAGCTCCCATTACTTCTGTTTTTTTTTTCTGTTGAGAGTACCAAACTTGGAACATTACCGGAATTCATTTCGCAGAAAAGGTTGTGGTTATTCATCGTGTTTTTCGTTTGTCTCACGACGTAGTCACGTGTGATGTAGATCGAGACATTTCGACTGCATACTGCTAGTCTTCTTCAGGCAAAACCAAACAACAGTGCCGAACCCGCCAAAGAGTTCAAAGCTACTGCGGTTTTACCTTATGTCAAAGGTCTGTCCGAACAGCTTCGCCGTTGCCTAAGACAACAAGGCGTACGCGCTGTTTTCAAGTCGGAGACCACGCTAAGATCTCAGTTGGTACGACCAAAAGACGCTGTCGACCCGGCTAAACAAGATGGCGTAGTTTACAGGATTCCCTGTGAATGCGGCAAGGTGTACATCGGAGAGACTGGAAGACCTATGCAATACAGAATTAACGAGCACGATCAAGACATTCGACTTGCCCGTACCGAGACCTCCGCCGTTTCAGAGCATACCCACAACACCGGACACAAGCCACTCTGGAACGAAGTAAAGTTTATTGATCGTGATCCATATTACTACACGCGCAAGGTCAAAGAGGTAATTCACATAAGACTTCACCCTAACAACATAGTGGATAGTGGAATAGAAATTTTAGAAGCGTGGAAACCCACGATAAAAAAAACACAACAACAGGAGAGCCGTGCGACAGCGGACCGCCGAGGGAGCAAATCATTGAGTGAACAGCAAGGATCGAAATACGTCAATCAGAGCTGTTGAATAACAGGTAATTTAGTGTTAACAATTGGGTTGAAAACGTAAATTAGCCACCGTAAAGGGTAAAAAAGCTGACGTTTCGAGCGTTAGCCCTTCGTCAGAGCGATTGACGAAGGGCTAACGCTAGAAACGTCGGCTTTTTTACCCTTTACGGTGGCTAATTTACGTTTTCAACCCAGTTGTTAACACTAAATTACCTGCTATACTCTCACCGACGCAGCACCACAGTTTCTTTAGAAAGTTATCTCTTTATTCTGTTGAATAACAACTAATCACAGTAGAGCATCATGCTTTATGAGATGACGCATGACCAGTCGACCTCTTCGCCTAAAGAAGACTAGCAGTATGCAGTCGAAACGTGGCGATCTACATCACACGTGACTACATCGTGAGACAAACGACAAAGTTATCTTTTATTTTTATTACCTTAAGTCAGTTTCTCGGTTGTTAATAATATCCCTTGATTTAAACACAGGCAAATCTAAAAGAATTCCGAAGGGCGGTTATTTTTGCTCTTTGCCGAATTTAGTTGCATTAACTCTGATAACGATGCTCTACAGGCCATATTTAATTAGATTAAATTTATATCATGTTCCTGTAGTGTAGTGGTTACCACGTCCGCCTCACACGCGGAAGGTCGCAGGTTCGAGTCCTGCCAGAACCATACTTTTAGAGAAACTTTAAAGCAAGAGAATAAATGCTTTAGTTTTACCTCGACAAAAATGTAACAAATTTCAGATGTTTGTTCTTCCCTCCTGTTTATTCATTATAGAAATCTTCACTTTCCACAAATTTTCCCCATGAATATTGTGAGGAAGTAGTCATACTATTGTTCAGGTCAGGTTGTAGAAATAGAAAAATGAAATGATGGAACAAGAAGCGTTAACATATATATGATATGACCATACTCCATCATGGTTTGGTGGCTTTTGATAACAATGGCTAATTATTTTTTTTTAAAGAAATTAAACTCTTAAAAGAAACTCACTAAGACTCTTTAAGGCTCTTAAAGAAACTCTTAAAAAAGTCGGTAAAGCAAGCTTAAAACGGCAGAGAACGCCGGAAACCATAACAGACACAAAAGATGTGAGTAAATTCTATTGATTTAACGTGTAAAATGTTCATATTTCGAAATATTTATCGTTGTAAATCGACCATATTTCGTTCCCTATGCTACTCCTTATAGCATGTTCAAATTATCAACGGTTTCTCCGTAAGTTAACACCGAGTCACACAACATGTAACGCTTACATGAATCAGTCGTTTGCTTTTTATCGAGATGTGAGCTTGGGACGCCTTTGTTCATGTGAATCTGCACTCGAACTATCGCAAGAAGCCTTGAATCTCTCTGCTGTTTTTCTTTTCATATATTAACGAGAAAGTTAGAAATTAACCAGGTGCTAATCTTGATTGGTCGATGTGCTCTCGTGGGGAATCCTAGTTCGCGGTAAATTCAAACTGAAAATAGACTTGTCTGTGAAAACGCCGTGACAAAAATATGGAGCAGTTGAAGGCTCCAAGTAATGGGCTCCTGACTCCTCTTATGCCTGAGGATACGCCCCCAAGTTAAACAAGTGCTCAATCAGAC